CTCCCCCCCCCCCCCCCCAGCCCTGTCCCTCTCTGAATGTCTTCACTCTTCCTACAAGCTATGGCGCCGAGCGGGTCGACTACTACTACTACTCTCAGCTTACTTCTCCCTCATCTGTGTTCAGGTCGCACAATAACGCAGCAGCGCTTTTGCGACATTCATGACTGGCAGAAGTGTTGATGCTGGCTGTGACTTGACTTTTGTACTTGTTGCGACTCCAAAATTAGACTTGTGATGTCGGTTCCTTGAGCCTTGGCCACAACAGGCAATGGTACCGATTGTCACAGGACTTTCCTGGGACTGACCTGCGACCGATCAGGGGTGGATATTTGACTGCCATCTAACGACTGACCCCTGCGAAGTTCCACAGACATCTACAGCTCCTACGGACTGAGCTACAGGAGTGTACTAGTATGGACGGGTCACGGGCCTATGTACAGGACCTTGGCAAACAGCCTACAAAAGAGTCTATGAACATGGGAATTTTGGACCGGGTACCGAGACCGGGAGCTGCGATGAATCAATCCTTTCAAAAGCGGAAGGTGCAATGTTCTTGTAACTTCTGACGATCTTTATATTATGCCCTTAGGGCCTTAGCTGCACTGTAGGGCTATGGACGTAGATAGTATGGAGCAATGTGTTCTAGAAAAGCGAGAAGGGCTGGAGGTTTTTGTTTAGCCAGCTGGAGATTCTTATTGACATGGATTTTAAAAAATATATATAATTTAAACACCGGGTAGCCAGCTGGAGATACTTACTGACATGGAGAAGGGATGTGTTCTGGAAAAGAGCAAACGTCACGAGCAATTGCTACCCTCTTCACCCGAATAGAATGCCCAGTGCCCAGTCATTATAGCTGTAATTGGGTCAACTATCAGTCTAGATACGGCAGTAAGTATCGGGCATTCCATTCAGGTGAAGATGGTAGGAACAGTACGACTTGCCATTGCCCATACATTGTCACATATCTATGAATTAAAAGAGCACACTGCGCGAAACAAACAGTAAAAAAAAACAACAAGACCAACATGAGGGGCACACGCAAACCATTCATTTTTCTCATTCTTCTTTTAACTCTCCCCTCACCGTGCCTCTGACATACAAGGCTGAAATTCATGGTGAAAAGTCACATGGACAAAAATGAATGAAGCAGCCTCTGTGATGAGGAAAGGACAGGGGTTGGGGAGACAGGGAAAAAGGGAGGGAGGGTGGCAGGGAGGGAGAACAAAACAGGGAGGGGAAAGAAAGCCTGCAAGGAAATTTATCAGAAGAATCAGGACATTTGTGACGAAAAGAGGTTCTGCGAAGAACTAAATAAAATCCAATTCAATAAAGACGTTGTGCTTAATAAGAGATTAGATCTGCAAGATGTTGCCTAAGAAGAGATCAGATTCGCAAACAAGCGTTTGTCCTTGGGGATAAATTGGAACAATACAGAGAAGATTAGCTTGGCCCCTGCCCAAGGATGATACACATAAAAAGACAAATGGTCCAACTTTTTGGAAAGGGAAAAAAAAAAACATTTGCAAAAAAGTTATGAGGTGCCAAGGCACCCCTTTCCAGCAACCCGTTGCTAACAGGTGAACCAGTCTATTGGTGGTCCCCACCTTTGAGCATTTATGATGACGTATGCTTCAAGTGCCCAAGCAGTGTAGGTGAAGTTTGCAATTTCTGGATAACGCCTCGGTGGCCTTGTGCCAATTAACACGGAGATGAGCACGAAGACGGCAGAAGTCTGTAAGAGAAAACGAAAGGTAAGTGCGTCAGAGTGCCAGAGGTGGTGAAATATTTCACAAAACCATGAAGGCGGATAGGGCCATACATCTTTGCATTTCTTGAATTTTCTTCTCACACAATTTTTTTTCTCAGAAGACAATTGAGCCGGGCCCATAAGCACCTGCTCAACAACAAAAAGAAAAAGATCAATCATGCTCTGGGCCTCGGGCACAAGCACCAAACCAGATAGGCTAGTGCACCAGTCATCAATGAGTAATGACCCACAAAGTTGCAGTCCGAGAATTCTGAACTTTTCTTAGAAAATGCTGTCTGTCCGTTGCCCTGTTGAAGTTTTTGCTAAAGATTCCGATTCTGCGTTTGTTTGCTGTGTTCTCTGAATATGTTTGTGATCAACCGATCTTGTATGTATGCCACGAGCTAACTTGTTGAGTTTTTACTCTCTGCGCATGAAAGTGCATGTGCGCGTGTCGGCGAGTCTCAGTTTGGTGGGCCCAGATGATGTGATTGTCGATTGGCCAGGCGGGGGTTTTGGAAGTCGCCTTCAAATATAGAAGTGCCACCGATGTTAAGCAGGACTTCTAATGTATGAGTGAGGCAATCAGCATCAAATCTGCTTGGCAGTTGCTTTTCGCTGCGGGAAGTTGTTGGAACTGGCTTTGTCATGGGAGCCGTAATGCTGGTTGTGCATCTTGGAGCATTTCCTGGAAGGCAAAAGCCAAAGATGAAATTGAGCAGCACGTGTCAGAATCACATAATGGACAGCGTGGCAAAGTCTCCCCCCTGCCCCCCTACCCTCTCTCTCTCTCTCTCTCTCTCTCTCTCTCTCTCTCTCTCTCTCTCTCTCTCTCTCTCTCTCTCTCTCTCTCTCGTCATAACGTTCCCGTTTGCCGAGTAATTGGGCTTGTTTTTATTTCCCCCCCCTCCATTTGGATTACACAGACACAGAGAAGATTAGCACGCACCTGCCGAGGTGAAACTCCTTGTTCTCCTTAGGCTCTTCCTCCTCTTCACACTCTTCTTCTTCGTCACGGTCTTCCAGTCGATGTTACCTCCGCCTCACACTCTTCCTCCTCTCTCTCTCTCTCTCTCTCTCTCTCTCTCTCTCTCTCTCTCTCTCTCTGTGTGTGTGTGTGTGTGTGTGTGTGTGTGTGTGTGTGTGTG